TACCGTTTGGTCGTATCTATTGCCAAAATGACCACATAATTGGTTCAACACAATATTCACAGAGAATAAAATTATGTAGCACAAAGTTCTAGTAGGCTGGGTAGCATATTGGAGAGCAGTTGTAACGAAGATTTCAGGCGAGTTTGTTTCCCAAACTCGCAAAAAGGAGGCCTTAATCTATTTCCTACGGCAATCATTTATTGAAATATACGAACACACTCTAAATGTGATATATCGAGTAGGTAGTGATACGGATATGATTAAAAAGGCATCTGTTATACACGTGTCCTAAAACGCGGGATAAAATTGGTAAATGAGACATGTATCCAACAGGAGTAAAATTTCGTGCCAACACACCCAACTAAGAACCAGCCACTAAAATAAGGACGCTAACGCTTGTTTCCTTTGCTGTGACGATAGACAAGTGCAAATAGGCCATTCTTATAGTTATTAGCTTAGAAGACACAAACCTAGAAACATTTATCGAGTCGTGTTACACCACTTCGAACGGCCGTCTTGATGTGCTGACGCAGCAACCGAGGCCCAGCCATAGCACCTAACTTTGTATAACATATCTGTTGTAAATGAATACAACTCACTGAGTTACCTGTTTTGCTTCCTCTGCTACAGATTCCTGCGCAATTTCTTCTAGCTTCAGTAGTTCTTCTGTAGAGGATAATATATTCCGGCGGTGCAATTGTATAAGACGAGCCAAATACTGCAATTTTGGTCGCAGATTTCGAACACGGCTGGCAGCTTCAGGGATGCTCGCAGAATCGCCACTTGAAGGGTCAGTGAAATCCAGAAAACTGGGTAGTAACTTTGATAGATTAACAATAGAGAAAAGCAGACATTCGATTTCGAGAATGTTCAAGTTAGATACTTGTTCGGGGATTAAACTCTTCGTCGACTGACACTCTCCAGATCCAGCATTCGGTTCAACGGTAGATGAAAGAGCAAGTAATGGATCCTCGGGCACCGTTGGCAAAGAACTCAGCAGTAACGAATGCAAGGGGCATAAAAGCTGAACCCCTTCAGTCTCGGAACATGACAAAAAGGCATCGCCCGGGTGCATAGAAAACTCTGTTAATACACGGAGAATGCCACGTCGGTCAAGCTCGCTACTGATGGGTTCGAAGTAGGGTATAACTTTTTCCAGTGTGTACTTTAAGAAGGCACCGGCAGTCACATTTTTCTGAAGCATGAAGCGTAAAATTTTAAATGATTACCGATAAAAACCGCACTGTCTGTCTGCCACTTTCACGAACCTGTGCAAGACAAGAAGCGTCTTGCGGATCAAACGATGGTACCGCCTGCACTACCTGAGTAGTAATCATATTTACGAGTTTTTGACGTCCGGGGACAGTAGACATACATTTGAGCGATGAAAGCACCGTTATGAGCAGAATAAATTCATTCTCTGAAACATC